TGTATTTGCATGTGTGTGAGTGCTTGTGTATGAGTTTGTGAGTCTTGTGCTTGTGTCCTCTTGAGTGAGTGCATTTGTGTGTGTGTATGTATATACGTGTGCGTGTATGTGTATAATTATTTAGCTTGTGAGTGTATGACTGTGAATGTGTATGAATGTATTTGTGTATGAGCATGTGTGTGTGAATGTGTGCACAAGTGTGTGTACTGTGTGTGTCCGTGAGTATGCGTTTGTGTGGCTGAAGCGTATGTGTGTGTGAATGTGTGTGCATGAGTGTTTTCCGATGAGCGTCTGTATGACTGTGTGCGTTGTATTTGTAGTTGTCTGTGTGTGAGTCTGTATTTGTGGGCATGTCAATATGTATTTTTGTGTGTCAGTGTGTGCATTCGGTGTGTAGTTTTTGTGTGTATGTTGTGTGTGTGTAGTGTGAATGTATTTGTGTGTATGAGTGTGCTTGTTCTGTGTGTATCTGTGTGTATGTGAATGGGTATTTTCTGTGAGCGTGCATAGTGTATTTGTGTGACTGAGTATTTGTGAGTGTGCGCATTGTGTGCAAGTGTGTATTTGCGTGCGTGTGAGTGTGCGTTTGTGTGCATCAGTGTGCGCGTTGTGTGCGAGAGCGCGTGTGAGCGCGTGTGTGCTGCCGCCGCGCGCCTCCACCTCGCTGCCATCCGCCCCATCCCGGCGCTGGAGCAGAGGCGGCGGCCGGGGCCCGGCGGGCGAAAGGAGAGACGCGCTTACCGCGCGAACGGGCTGCACCGTGGCCGCCGCTGCCTCTCCGACTTTGCCCTTTAAATCGGTCTCCAAGCCGATTACAGCTGATCTCCCACGTGACGTTTTACCTTCTGTCTCCCCGAGCGACTTGCCCGAGGACAGTCCTCCTCCGGCTGCCGCGCGTCGCGCCGCCCCAGCCCGCCGCAGGGGCTCGGCTCCGGCAACTTTGGGCGAAGCGGCGGCCGGCCCAGCGGCCCTCGCGGGGCCGCTCCGCGCCCCGGCGTCGGGGACTCTGGAGGCTTGTCTCAGCCAGGAAAGCGGCGGCCCTGGCCTAGAACACGCCCGGGCCCTAGCCCCGCGCCCCCTGGACCCGCGTGGCGCAGCGACCCGGAGGCCTGCGGAAGTGCCCTGCGCGCTGCGTCGAGAAAGGGGGCTCTCTTTCGCCTGCGGCAAACGGAGCGGACGCCCCTTCGGGGGAGCGGGCCCGGCTATGCGGGCCAGGCAGGCGTGAGGCAGGCCGGCGCCCGCCCGAGCGCCCCCCGCGCACTCACCATGCAGAAGAGCGTGCGGTACAACGAGGGGCACGCCCTGTACCTGGCCTTCCTGGCGCGCAAGGAGGGCACCAAGCGCGGCTTCCTGAGCAAGAAGGCGGCCGAGGCGAGCCGCTGGCACGAGAAGTGGTTTGCCCTCTACCAGAATGTGCTCTTCTACTTCGAGGGCGAGCAGAGCGGCCGCCCGGCGGGCATGTACCTCCTGGAAGGCTGCAGCTGCGAGCGGGCGCCCGCGCCGCCCAGGATCGGCGCTGGGCCGGCCGGCGCCCGGGACGCGCTGGACAAGCAGGTACCGCGCGCTCTCCTTCCTCGGTCTCTCTGCCTCCCGCCGCGACACTCCCTTGCTATTCTAACCCTGGGGACTGGGGGGACAGGGGTGGGGTCTCCACAAAGCACAGGGACGATACTCCGAGATCCTAGATTCCCCTGCGGCGTCAGTGCCGAGACATTTCCACGCTCTCCCTGTCTCCATCCAGGGGCTGTCGCATCTCCGCCTCCCCACCCCTCTTCCATCTCCGTGGGATCAGCTGGAATAGGGGCTCGGCTGTATTGCTTTCTCGACCCTGGTAGCAGTTGGGTCGTTTCAGCTTCACTACTTGCTTCTCTAGACCTTGCCCGGAAGGATTTTGTGTGGTGACACCTGTTGGATTTAGCTTGGCGAGACGAGCTAACTTATTTGGAAAAGTTTGGTTTCTCCTTTACCCGGTTGGCGTGTATAGGTTTCTTTGGTGCCGGTGATTGACCGCTGGATGTGCAGGGAACCAACTGGGCTCCTCTGTGCGAAGACCAACAGGCACCTTCTGTTGGTCATTTCCAATCAGTCCTTGTGGTCTATGTCAGTTTACCTGGGTAACGTTTGGCTTGCTGGGTCTAATTATGAAGATAAATGTGTATCTATATCCCTCAGGGTTAATATTTGGTAGCCACATTCTTGCTATGTTTAAAAATGTGGGCATTTTTAAGAGCACTTCTGTGTACTTTTAAATGAATGCTTTGAAATGAATGCGACCCTTTTATTCAGGGTCACACTTTTAGTAGTTTTTCTATGTGCTCCCTGGGGGGAGACTCTAGGTTTAGTAATTCTCCCCACCTCCAATTCCTGCAAAATGCGAAATTTGTATTTTTTCAATCACCATTTGGTTATTAAAGTTAAAGCAGACTAATTTTATGCTCCCAAATGTTCTCACTTAGCTTCTACATCTCCACCTTGAAAAAAAGAGGCTGATTGTTTTTGCTGTTGCATAAAAATATTTCGCAGCTGAATTTTCCGTGCAAGTCAGACCAAACAGCATCTACTCCAAACCACTGCGGGTGGCGGTGAGAGGCGCTAGTAGGTGAATGATGAGCAAGACGCGCGTACACTCCTTGGGGGCTCATAAAACGGTATATAAAATTAAGAGGAGTTAAAGCTAAAGCAACCAAAAGTTTGATTTTTTTTCCACTTTGGTTTCACTATAAACTGTTAAAAGACTTGACTGATTAAACTTGTTACAATGCTGAAAAATCTGAAATAAAACAAATGTCCTTTGGTTTTTGAGGGCGTGTGGAAGATAATTGAAAACCCAATTTACAACTTTGTAGATATATATATACTAGAAATATAAGCATACATTTCAAGTCATGCGTACTAGAATTTAAATCGGGAAAAGGAGAAAGGGTTTTGAGGAAATAGGGATATTTTCAGGATCTCAGCTTTTTTTTTATTGGTGGGATTTTTTTTTTTTTTTTTTTAAGATTCGTGTTCCAAGGCCCCACAGGAGCCGGAACTAATAAGTTTTTAAGTAGTATTATGTCTAAGATAAAATGGGGTCTTTTAAATTACCCTGAATTTATATCATTGACTTAATTCCAAACTGTTTATTTGTTCTCCTTTTATTTATATAATATTATAACTCTTCCTTTGTGTTCCTTCCTTCCCTTCTTCTTTTTTCCTTCCTTTCTTCCAGGGCTTCAGAGTTATTACTTACCTTACCAGTTACAATTTGTATGTTTGTCTTATCTGTTAACATTATATGGTAACCAACCTTTTTGTACTTGGAAAATATCTAGATTCACACCTTCAGGATAGTTTTCTTTAAACTATACTTTAATAACAAAATGTAACTTTCAAGTAGTTTTACTTTCATGTCCCTTTCTGATGGAAATCCTAAGCAGGTCATCTTATGGAAATTTTTTTCCCTCTGTTTATAGTCATGTAAGTTATGAGTATTTCTCAGTCATTTTTATATATTTCTAAGAGGTTGGAAATTAGAACCTTTGATGTTTGTAGATAAAACTGAGATGTAGAGAAGCAGGCATCCCAAAATGGATATAAGGAGTTGGGTTGGGAAACCCCTCAATTTCTGTCTTATTAGACAGGCTTTATGACTTGGGTTAGCTTAATGGACTGATGCTTTTCTCTGACATCATCTGTCTGGGTGGGTTTGAAGAGTTAAGAAGGAACTGTAAAGATAGGAAACAAGGGAGAAGTCTACAGTTTATACAGTTGGTTCCCTTTCAGTTAATTTGTGTTGCTGGTGTACTCCAATTATCTTAAACACAGAGATACTATAGACTACCAAAACTGCCCAGGCTGAGGGCAGGGACCATCTCAAGGCCTGTTTCTCTCCGTATGCTTCCAGAGCTCTCCACATAAAAATCTCCATCAACCACATAAACAGAATTGAAGGCTAGGGCATGACACAACATAAAATATGGTTTAGAGAGGCAGAGTGGTTCTCCAGCAAGTTGCGATGTGGCTTTAGACAAATCTCTTAACGTTTTCAACTTCTTTTTCCTAGTATGTAAAAATTAAGGGTTTGGATAAGATAATTTCTAGGTTTCCTTCCAATTATGGTATCTTCTGTTTCTAAGGTAAACAGACAGTGTGAACTTTTTGCTGTGTAGAGGATGTGAAAGAAAATTTCATGAGATTGAAAGATTACCAGTTTCTGTAATAAATACTGTATTTGAGAAGCTAAAGACAAGTGGGAGATTGAAGTAGACATTCTGATCAATCAGTTAGGTCAGTAGATGCGAAAACCTGTATAGTAACCCTCATCGCCTTAGATTCTTATCATTCACATTGGCAGGCTACAGCCCTGATAATTGTAGCAGTTGATGTAATGCCTGCTATAAAATGCCTGTAATAATTCTTGAGAGTTTGTTCTTGCACGTCTATCATTCTACCTCTACTTCAGATAATTTAAAAATTCAAATTAATTGTGTTTCTAAATAAATTAAAGGAGAAAATTGCCATAGATTTGCTTGATTGAAATACTAATTCAAAGTATGTTGGCTGACAGAGAAAAACATTATTTTGTTTATTTTTAGCAATTTAATTGTCTTACAGTGTTTTCAGCTGAACAGAAAAAGGTGTTTTTCATCTTCTAAATATGCCTAGGTTGAAGGAATATTTGCACTGCTCTATTTTTTTTTCCATAGTATTCTAAGATTTCCCTTTGGTAAGCTCTTGAGAGATGACTAGGCTCTCTTATCAGCCTTCCATAGGGGCTACTTTCTAGGGATAACAGTATATAATTAAAATGAGTTCAGTTTAAAATCTTTCTTTTTTTTTAATGGAGTTGTTCCTTTTCTCAGAGATATGGCTGGGTGGTACCTCTTTCTAAAAAAAGCCTCATTTATGGAACACAAAAAACTTACCTCTTAAGTCAGATGAAGATATTAAGGGGAAAGGGAACTTGCAGTTAGAAGTACTGTTTATGTGCCAGGTTTTCTGCTCCAGGTATTATCTTCCATTATTTCATCTACTTTAAACTGCTTCAGCTCTTAGAGGTGTTTTTTTGTTTTGTTTTGTTTTTAACTATGCTAATGCTGAGGCTCAAAGAGTTAGGAAGATGATCAGAATCCAACACCAAATATGAAGACTGAGTCATCTTGAAGGGCCCCTTCTTAAGGGTATGATATTTAAATCCACTGAGCTTCAAAAAATTGCAAATATGGATGGGATGAGTGTTAGTGTTGTAGCGTGTGAATCACTGTGTTTTGTTTGCTCTTATTTTACCTTTAAAAACTAGTTATTGAAAACAGTTTGGCAGTTCTTCAAAAAGTTAAACACAGAATTACCATAAAATCAACCAACCAACCAAACAAACAAAACCCCAACAAAACCCAAACCTGCTGCTGTTGAGTCACTTCCGACTCATAGTGACCCCCTGTAGGACAGAGCAGAACTACCCCGTTAGGTTTCCAAGGCTGTAATCTTTACAGAAGCAGACTACCACATCTTTCTCCCACTGAGGGGCTAGTGAGTTGGAACTGCCAACCTTTCTTTCAGTTAGCAGCCCAGCACTTTAACCACTGTGCCATTAGGGCTTCTAGAATTACCTTATGACCCAGCAATTCTACTCATAGATATATACCCCAAAGACTTGAAAACAGGGACTCAAACAGATACTTGTATACCAGTGTACATAAACAGCATTAGTCACAATAACCAAAAGGTGGAAACAGCCCAAGTGTCCATCAGCAGGTAAACAAAATGGAAAATGGATCAACCAAATGTGGTGTGTATGTGTATATGCATATACACACACACGTATAACCCATTGCTGTCTAGTCGATTCCCCAACTCATAGTGACCCCATAGGACAGAGTAGAACTGCTGGGGTTTCCAAGGAGCACCTGGTGGATTCAAACTGCTGACTTTTTGGTTAGCAGCCGACCTCTTAACCACTGTGCCACCAGGGTTTCCCATATATGTGTGTGTGTATGTATATATATATATAAAATACTATTCAGCCACAAAAAGGAATGAAATTTTAATACACGCTACAACATGGATGAATCTTGAAAACATTATAGTAACTGAAAGAAGCCAGACACAAAAGGACAAATATTGTTGGACTGTACTTATATGAAATACCTAGAATAGGCAAATTCATGGAAACAGAAAGTAAATTAGAGGTTACCAGGGGGGATAAGGGGGAGATAGAACTGGGGAGTTACTGCTTCATGGGTGCAGAGTTTCAGTTTGGTATGAAAAACGTTGGGAAATACATGGTGATGATGACTGTACAACATTGTGAATGTAATTAATGCCACTGAATTGTACACTTAGAAATAGTTAAAATGGAAAATTTTGTGATCAACGGCAACGGGTTTTTTAACTCAGTGAACAAACAAATCATAAAAGGCAGTTGTGATTCTTGTGAAATACAATTACAGACAATTATATTTTTAAAGAAAAATAGAATTTATTTTTAAACACACAGTTTCGATAACATTCATTTACTTCAGGGGACCTTTAAAAATATTTGCACTTATGTTGAAAGTGCAAATATCCCAGTT